AAGTTGAACCTCGCTCTACAAAATGGTACCTCAAGCTCGGGGAAAGGAGTAAAAGCGAGTGAGTTATTAAGGATCAAACAGTGTCTTCATTTTTTTGGGACATCCTGAATATTTATTATTTTAAAGGTAGAAAAGTGTTTGCTGCGGTCCTGTTCAAGAAGCTAAACCGAGTGCAAGCAAGACGCGAACGAAACGATGAAACCGAACGACAACTACGAGATATCGAAGATAGGAAGTGCACGGTAAGTTCATACCGCTTTGTCTCCCGTTTTCGAGTTAGCCTCTTTCTTCTTCTCTTCTCCAACTTCATAATGATTACTTGCAGACTCTTGATCTCGTATCGACATCCGAAGCAGCGCACGATGTTGCATGCGATGACGATGATGATGTGGAGTGCTATCTCGAAAGAATGAGAGAAGATAGTCTGAAAGCTTCCGCAAATCGATCTCCTCGTCATAGCGCACTTTCGCCTAGTATGTGCTGCATCTTTCATATAATCTTTTTTGTTTGCTAATACCGAGCTTACGGTTATTTTGCATGCAAGTATTTACTTTTTGAGGGCCTTTTTCGCCGGAACGTGACCGCAGTAAGGCTTGCGGTGTCAGCGGTGCAACTATGGGTATAATGTCTGTATCGATGTCAACCTATCCTCGCTCTTCGAATCAGTTTGCACCGCCACCTATGCCCAATTCCTTCAATATCTCTAGCGTCTTCTATAAGGAGAACAGGTGCTGTCGTATCCCATGAATGCATTTTAATTTTGTTTGGATTACTCAATTAGTTCTTGGCTCGTTACAGACCTGCAAATCAGACGGCTCCGATTTACGACTCTTCTGGAGTGGGTTCCATGGCTCCCTCTGCATTTTCGGATACTTCTCGAGGTTCGCGTCGTATGCCGATGTGCATTCCTCCTGCCCTTGCTACTCCTCGACGAACACGCCGATCCCTTCCATCTACAGGGCAGCAACTAATCACTATATCGTACAAAGGTGAGTTACTAAAACTGGAATTGTGGAATTGCACCCGAAAAGCGCTGAAAGAACAGAAG